ATCTCTCAAGCCTTCCGAATGAATCTTAACTCTGCTAATCTTCCAAAGTAATGGTGCTGGTCTCAAGCATTCTCTCTCAGTCAGCATTCCTAGTCTAGGCATTTCCTCCTACTTCCCAACTTGGCTTTCCCTGCTTATGATTACACCATCTGATTTACTTGAAAAAAATATTTGTGTATTTTATTTTAAATCTGAAAATAAAAATAAAGGTGGCAGATAATTGCCGAGGAGGGGGTAGAATAGCAAAGCAAACATAAGAAACGTATATATTAGAGGCTATAGAGATGGCTCAGCAGCTTGGAGTACTTACTGTTAGTCCAGAGGACTCAGATTCATTTCCCACCAAATAGTGTCTCACAGCAGTCTGTAGCTCCAGCTCCAGGGAATCAAGTGCTCTTTTCTGGCCTCCGAAAGCATCAGGTACATACATGGTGCATAGACAAATATGTAAGTAAAATATCCATAATATAAAACACATAAAAATAAATACATCTTTTTAGAAAAAGTGGTTAAGAAAACAGATATGAATAATAGTCCCAAATACATCATTTCTTATGGTATGCTTATGTGAATACCTTAAGTCAATGGTTCTAATTCAGAAGATGGTCCATTATAGCCAACTTAATACTTTTACTATAGACCCTGAAATTGGGATTGAATTGTGGTAGAATTTTTGGACATACAACTCTTCTAAATTTCTTTAGTATTTTTTTCAGGGGAGAGCAGATGTGTATATATGTCTGTACATACATATGCTCATGGTGTGTGGAAGCCAGAGGTTGACATCCAGGGTCTTCTTCAATTGCTCTTTACCTCATTTTACTGAAGCAGGGTCTCTGACTAAACCTAGAGCTTGCCAAATCAACTAGTCTAGGTAGCCAGTTTGCCCCAGGAGCCTTGTCTCTCCTTCACAGGGCCAACATAAGCAGTGGGTGCTGGGGAACAGAACTCTGGTCCTCATGTTTGTACAGCAAATACTTTATACTATGAGCCATCTTTAGTTATTGTTATAGATACCTTCAATTAAAAGCTATTATTCTAAAATAACAATTAAATTATATTCAGTATGTTACACTTAAGACTGCAGGAATATCAATATAATCAGTGAAATCCCAGTTATTATGGATAAATTAATTGAAAAAAGAAATGCAAATGATCATATCTTAATATGTTCACCAAAGAACAGAAGATCAGTAATCCTTAATTTGGTATGTTTCAAAGCAGGCACTTGTTGACAGAGGTTTCTGTCCAGTCTGGTCCTGCAGCCATGCAGTTCCAAAACACACATAGGTCTACGTTAATTATAAACTGGATGACCTATTAGCTCATGCGTCTTAATAACTAACTTTTACATCTTAAATTAACCCATAATTTTTGTCTGTGTTAGCCCCATGGCTTGGTACTTTATATTAGTATAGCATTCTCATCTTGATTCCTCTGCGTGTGGGTGCTGACTGCAGACTGAGCCTTTTCTTTTCCCCAGAATTCTCCTATTCTGGTCACCCCGCCTATACTTCCTGCCTGGCTACTGGCCAATCAGTGTTTTATTAAACCAATACAAGCAACAAATCTTTACAGGATACAAGACCATTGTTCCACAGGCACTCACAGTCATTGCTTATAGCAATATGAGTTGGTACAGATCTGGGATGCGATGTGTATCTAAGTCTTAAGTATTTTTACTTCAGTAAGCTTACCCTAGAGGTTTATTCTAATCATTAGTATTTCAGTTACAAAATTTAACAGTGTCCCTATGTGATTGGATTTGCCCCCCCCCAAAAAACTGGCAAAGCTACATAGTATGTAGGAATGCCAGTAATTATAGCAAATAGGTGAAAATATAGCTAATTTTTAAAAATATATTATTAGTATGTCATTGTTAAGTAGCTTTAGTGTACAGGAGAGATTTCCCAACAACTTTTTAGTCTTAAAAATAATTCCATTGTCCCTGGAATTGCAGAGACCCCACAGTTCCCTTCTTGACTAAGGTTGCTTATTAGTTTAAGTCTGCAGTGAAGCCTGAGGCTCCTCACTTGTCTCATTTCTCAGACAAACACCCTGAGCCTCTTTTAGCAGTTATTAACAGTTTTAATAAGACTCCCTGCACTTTGGGAAGTATCTGTAGTCCCAAAAGATTGTGGACAGTTACCTTAACTGCTCTGTAGATTTCATACTTTTTCTAAGTTACTTAAATGTTTTCCTGTATTGCACTAAAGATAAAGTTCTTTTTTAATATGGTCACCTCTTAGAATTTGGTAGATTCATAAAATCCATATTCTGGTCTACTCTTGTAAATATAACAATTGTGTGTGCCTAAACTCTGGCTCACAAGTCTTGTATAGCTCTGGAACAAGCTCCTAGGTTAGTATAGTTTTTCCCAGTTTTGATTCATTTTAAAATGTTGATAGCCATGTAACTTTCCATTGTGCTGTGTAGTTAATGAGGGGTTTGTGTGTGTGCTCACTCATACACAAGACAAAAACAAGGGCCACTGGGGCTGTTTTGATTTGGGAGAGAAAGATAAGAACTACAAGAATCAGCTGAAGTACTTTTAAAACCTGTTTCCAATTTACCTGGGAGGGTACAGGGACTTCCCACCAAGGCTGACAGCCTGAGTTCGGCTCACCTAAAGCAAGGCAAGAATTGATGCCTGCAAGTTGTCCTCTGACCTCCACACACATGCATCCCACACACAAATACAAAATTAATGTAAATTTTAAAATTTTAACTGCTATTAAATGGTGGCATACAAGATGAATGAGCGTTGGTAGCTTTAGAACTAACAAGAGTTCAGGCATTTCCCCATGTGACTGTACATAACAGTGCCCACTATATTGTGTCTTTGCCATACTCATTTGCAAGTTTAGTCTTCATCAAAAATCACAAAAGACTCGTTGTTTTAGAGAAATAAGAATGGAACATATGCCAAAAATTGTGAATAATTTTGAGAGTCAAGACTTTTTAAAGGCTTTTAAAACATTGTCATTTTAATACTCTCCGCACGTGTGTGCGTGGGCGCGCATGCACACGAACACACAACCATGTTGGGGAACGGGGAAAGCTACTAATAGTTCTTAAGCATTTGGGTCTAATCATTATCTGGAACATGAGTGTGCTGTGTATGCGTACCAAAAGGTATAAAATGTGTGCTGTGTATGTGTATCAGTAGGCATGGAAAACACACAGAGACCAGAAGTTTACACATTTTAAAAGACACACACACACATTTATTAGTTTTGTAGACAACAAAAGGAGTTGCTTGTGATGGCTAGCTTGTTTGTTTTGTCAACTTGGTACAAGCTAGTTATCTGAGAAGAGGGAACCTGAGTTGAGAAAATGCCCCCCATAAGACTGGCCTGTAAGCAGGTCTGTGGGACATCTTCTTAAGTGGTGATCTATGTGGGGGTGGCCCAGCCACTCTGTGCTGAAGGACCTGGAATGTGTAGGAAAGCAGGCTGAGCAAGGCATAGGGAGCAATCCAGTAAGCAGTGTTCCTCCATGGAGTCTGCCCCAATTCCTCCCTTCAGGTTCCTGCCCTTCTTACATTCCTGCCCTGCCCTCCCTCAGGTACAGATTGTTTCGTGGAAGTGTAACATGAAATAAGACCTTTCCTCTACAGGTGGCATTTGATTCTGATACGTTATCAAAGCAGTGGAAGCCCTAAGGTGTTTGTAATATGAATATACTTCATTCTTCCTACTAAATCAGTTTTGCAAATAATAGTGAGTATTGGTAAGGACATTGCTAATATAATATAAATTAGAAAAAATATCCTAAAATGAATTGGGCTGTTTTTTTCCTTTCTTTTTCTCAAGACAGGGTTTCTCTTTGTAACAGTCCTAGCTGTTCTAGAACTCGCTTTGTAGACCAGGCTGGCCTCAAACTCACTGAGGTCCTCCAGGCATGTGCCACCACTGCCTGGCTGAGTTTGAATTATTTTGTTTGTTTGGTTGGTTGGTTGGTTGGTTTTTTTCTGTGCTGCAGCTCTAGCTGACCTGGAACTCACTTTGTAGACAAGACTACGAACTTGCAGAGATCCGCCTATCTCTGCCTCCTGGGTGCTGGGATTAAAGGCGTGCACCACCACTGCCTGACAAGTTTGTCTTTTAAATAGAATCTTAAGTAAAAGTTCTATTTCTAGGAAATTAAATTCATTTGTTTATTTTATATGTGTGGATATTTTGCCTGTGTGTATGTCTGTGCACCATCTATAAACCTGGTGTCTGCAGAAGCCAGAATAGATTGTTGGATACTCTGGAACTTGAGTTACAAACAGTTGTGAGCTGCAATGTGGGTGCGTGGGAATCAAACCTGGGTCCTTGGGAAGAGCAGCCAGTGAGTGCTCTTAACTACTAAGTCAACTTTCTAGTACCTGTTTCTAAAAATCATCTTGACAGATTCTCAGGCAAATTTATATGTAGCAATAAGTTTTTTGTACTGAAATATTTATTATTGCTTATAAATATAAAATGGAAGCATCCTAGATGTTGAAATTTAATGATTATTCTAAGTTGTGCTTTAGCTTTGTAAAATATGATGGACCTACCTATTACTTGTAATGTTCTTCTAAAAATAGTGATTTGGGAAAGCAGTTACACTTACTGTTAAATGAAAAAAGATGCTAAGAGGTGAAATTTTTCTAGATAGTTGAATTGTTGATATTTTTTATTTTAATTTTGTATTCCCTCATTTATTTTTATAGTAAGAATGCATTTTTCTTATATTTTTTGGTTGTGAGCCTAGCCTTTAACGGCTGAGCCATCTCTTCAGCCCAAGAGTGCATTTTTCTGTTTAAAATACTTTCTTGAGTAAATGCAAGTTATTATGTTTTATAGCTTTAACAGTTATGTAGTATTAGTAAAATAACAATGACACTTAAAACTATGCAAACTAGTTTTACCCTAAAGATAAAGTTTTACTGGTTTAAGAAATTTATCTTAAAATGTGTTGAATTTAAGCCAAAACAACTAATTTGGGGACAACTTTCCTTTTCCTACCAGAAATTGAAGACTTGTTTTCCTCGCTTAAACACATCCAGCACACTTTGGTTGATTCCCAGAGCCAGGAGGATATCTCACTGCTTTTACAGCTCGTACAAAACAGAGATTTTCAGAATGCGTTCAAGATACACAATGCTGTCACAGTGCACATGAGCAAGGCCAGTCCCCCATTTCCTCTTATCTCCAATGTACAAGACCTTGTACAAGAGGTACGTGTCTGAACGTCTTGTTGATATCCACTGGCTATTTATTAGTCAAAGCAGACTGACAAGGCTGAAGTCATTATTGTCTGAGGTAATTGATAATGGTCACCTGCTAAGAATTGTAATGGGAAATGAGAAAAAACTGCTGCATGCATTATGTTCAGAAAGTATTTATAACCTAGTTAATATTGATCTTGAAGAGTTAATTTATATATAAAATAAGTATAGAGAGTAACATGTTTCAGTTTTAATACACTTAGTATGGTTTTCTTTAACCATTATATAGTATAAACTCAGATAAAATAATAATCCTTAATCAGGAATTATAACTAACTCTTTATTGACAATTTGGGGATTTTTCTTATGAAAATAGTATGTTGCAGATCATCAATTTGTATTATTTTATGTGTGCATGTTTCACCTGCATGTATGTCTGTGTACCCTATGATTGCACTGCCTATAGAGGCCAGAAGAGTGTGTCTGATCCCCGGGGACTAGAGTTACAGATAGGAGTTACAGGAAGTTGATAGCTGTCGTGTGGATGCTGGCAGTTGAACCCAGGTCCCCTGGAAGAGGAGCCCATGCCCTGATTGCTGACCTTCTCTCCAGCCCGTATTATCCAGTGCTACTGCTCTATAAAAGTTACTTTTTTTAATATGTTCCTTTTAAAGTCTAGATTCAGATACTAGTTGGTGGTCGGTGTTTAATATGTCCCCAAGCATCTTTCACACTGAAGGTTTTAAACATTACAAATAAGCTCTTATTTCAGAACATTATGCAGTTTGTCGTTATAGAATTTCAGATTATTTTAATCTTACAAAAAATAATTCTGAAAACATCAAATAAATGTATTTAATTGAGTCCACGAAATATAGAAAAGGGAATGGGAGTGAGTACTATTTCTAAGAGCTACAGACTATATGTTAAGTTAGGAGATACTTTATATATGAGCATAGTTTCCCTAAGGGAGGTGTTTTCCTGGTTGAAATGCCTAAGATGGCAAAACTTTACATGCAGTGTAATAGGAAGATCTTCTGTTGTTCAGGGCAGAGTGCCATATGGACCTGTTTATAGAAAGGAAGAACTGGCCATCTATAAGAGTTTCAAAGAGCTGTTGGACTCCTATTCTGTGAACTCACCTTTTACTGTTGAAATTAGTTGTATGATATTATTTTCACTGAGGGAATTGTTGAGCACCAGGTATAGCTTGGTGTTCTAACCCTTTTCTACCATATATGAGGCCCTAGGTTCAATCCACAGCATTGCAGGAAATACAATTTTTTTTTAATTAAAAATACCACTTCTTTTCCATTTATTTAAATTTTTTTGTTTGTTTAAGGTAACTTAAATGGTTTTGCTGAAAGTTTTTTAAAAAACATATTGAGGCAGGTATGGTATCTCAGTATCTCATAGCTTTAAATCCAGCACTCAAAGGATCTCTAGACCAACCTGGTCTACAGAGTGAGTTCCAGAACTGCCAAGGCTTTTTTCTACAAGGTTTCTCTGTAGTTTTTTGGAATCTGTCCTGGAACTCACTCTGTTCGAGGCTGGCCTCAAACTCATAGAGATCCATCTGCCTCTGCCTTTTGAGTGCTGGGATTAAAGATGTGTGCCACCCCCGCCTAGCAAGATTGATTTTTTTATGCATGTGAGTACTCTATCTGCATGTATTCCTTTATGCCAGAAGAGGGCATCAGATCCCAGTATAGATGGTTGTGAGCCACTATGTGGTTGCTGAGAATTGAACTCAGGACCTGTGGCAGAGCAGTCAGTACTCTTAACCAGTGAGCTGTCTTTCCAGCCCCAATTTACACTTTTTCAAAAGAAAAGATTGATAACTTGAATTTCATGGAATAAACTTGCTCATCTAAAACATCTATGAGTAAAATGTAAGCCAACATATCAGGAAACAGAATTTAATTTTTCTTTTCTTTTTTACTTTGAAATACTGGGGGGGGGTGTATATACGTGTGTGTGTGTGAGAGAGAGAGAGGGAGAGAGAGAGAGAGAGAGAGAGAGAGAGAGAGAGAGAGAGAGAGAGAGAGAGAGAGACTTCTCTTGTGGTAGCGTGAGCACAGGATTGTGGGGAGACAGTATGGCATATATGGGAACCAGTGGTTTAATGGTGGACCCTAGGCATGAGTAAGATCAGGGCTGGAAAAGAGGCAAGAATCAGGTGATGCTTAATGCTAAGGATCTTCTACTCCATCCTGTAAGTGACTAGGAAAGAGGCAGTGAGGATGACAGTGGTCAGAAACAGGTGCTGGAGACAGAGTTAGAACCCATAACGCATGCACACATAAACTCCGCGGTCCTTACCCTCTAACCTCACAAAGCAGCACCACCAGATGAGGAAAAGATGTGCAAAAATATGAGCGGGGGGGGGGGGTCATTTTACATCAAACCATGACAGTGTCTGATTTCCTCTGTTCAGTGTAATCTTGAGGTTCATCTCTTCTGTGCTTATATCAAACCCAACAGCTCACACATGGTAAGCACATTGCCACTCACTTGAGTTCCAGCCCCAGTAGTTAGTAATGTTTTGAGTAGTATTCTATTGTGTGACTATCCCATAAATGTGTTTGGTCACTTAAACCTGTTGAGATTGTTTCCTATTACTGGTTCAATTTAATTTTTTTTTACATTTATTTGTTTATTGTGTGTGTGCGTGTACATGCTGTGTGTGAATGTAGAGATCAGAGCAGAACTTTCAGGAGTCAGTTCCCCTTCCTCCACGTGCATTCTGAGACTTGAACTTGGGTTGTCAGGTGTTGTCAGGTTGATAGCAAGTGCCTTTACCCTCTGAACCAGCTTGCCAGCTTTCCGGTTACTGATCCTCAAATGTGAGGTGTAGTGGTGTCTTTTTAATATATTCTGATTATATGCTTTGGGAAGGGGACAGTAACATGTAAGAGCAGTCCTTCAGCTCATGATGTGTGTTGACGCTAGGTTTGGGGGCTTGCTGGTAGAGAAGGGAGTGTTTATCAGAGTTCTAGTTTTCTTGTTTTGTTTTAGTTTTTCAAGACGGGGTTTCTCTATGTAGCCCTAGTTCTGGAACTCACTCTGTAGACCAGGCTGGCCTCAAACTCAGACATCCGCCTGCCTCTGCCTCCTGAGTGCTACAATTAAAGGCATGTGGCACCACTGCCCGACTTCTGTTTTTTTTGTTTTGTTTTGTTTTTTAAAGAAAGATTTCAGAGATGCTTAGGAACTGACTTAAAAGTAGAAACAGGCCAGGTGGTGGTGATGCACTCGGGAGGCAGAGACAGGTGAATCTCTGTGAGTTCGAGACCAGCCTGGTCTCAAGAGCTAGTTCCAGGACAGGCTCCGAAGCTACAGAGAAACCCTGTCTCGAAAGACAAACAAACAAACAAATAAAGAGTAGAAGCAGGAAAAAAGTGTTGTCTGTAGAATATTATTATTGGATTGATTTGTAGCTTTTATAAAGTCTTGATAT